CAAACTGCTAAAAATGGGAGTTTAATGCCCAAACCCACAACACTGGAAGTTGAATTTTGATACCAGATAGGTCTCCCTTCTAGAATGTAAGGTATAAGAGAGCAGGAGATGTGTCTATCTTGGTGTATCAGCAAGGATGCTTTAGCTACAAGCAACAGGAATCGCCTCTGGGGGAGCCTGATATGTAAGGGAATGCAGTCAGTGAAGCAGTGTACTATAAGAGCACAAGATGGGGAAGACATGGGAAGTTTCCAGGATGCTATTTCATTTCACATGAGGGTTAGAGGGTAAACATATTTCCAGGCAGACAAGAGGAGAGAGGACCATCCAAATGACACTGGCAGTCCATGTAAAGGTGGGGACATAAAAGGTTATTTGAGGGACCCAGTGAATAGCTGCAGTTTGGTATGGCAGGAAGTAAAGTTTTCAAATATTCATTCATTGAGTCACATTAAACTATTTATTAAGTGCTCCCTGTGTGCCACTATAAAGAATGTTTGTTGTCTTTTTAGCCACCAGGTACCCATTTTCCCTTAACAGCATCATCTTATTCCTTACAAGAAATTACCTCATCTCCTTTGGCCAGTTATATGGGACATCATAAGGGGCCTTGCTCTTATGGTTAGGCATGGGCATAGTTAGGACAATTAAATATTCCTTTCTTGAACTCTGCCCAGCCAAAGAGACAGAAAATAGTTAGTCCATCCAGTTTTCTTTAGCTACAAGACTCCTTTTTCCACTTGTCTCCTACTTCTCAAGAACAGCCCCGGGCCCTTCCTACTTCTCAATCTGGCTCTCCATTTTTCTGACTAATTCTATGAGCTGATATGCCCCCTCTAAATTTCATTTGGTTTAGGTTACTCAGAGTCAGGCTTCCATTGTTACTAGCAGAACAATGCATGTTAGCAATGAGAATATACAACTAAAAAAGATGTGGTTCTTATTCTAAAGAAGCATATTTCCCAGAATGGTGTGAGAAGACTAGTGAGGATTATATAAGCAAATGTAATTGAGTTATATAAAGACATAATTAAAGCATAAGGGGAGCAATCCTAAATCTGTCTGGGAAAATCAAGGCAGACTTCACAGAGGAAGTTCTTGCTCTGTCTTCTGCAGAAGAGGTAGGAATTGATGAATAGAGAAGTGGAAGGACGTACCAAGAGAACCATACACAGGAAGGAAAAACCATGATTTATTTGGGGGAACTGCAAATATATTTTAGAATGTGAAAAAGACCTTGTATAGGATTCAAATATGTTTATATTTTATCCTATAAACAGTGACAAGTCATTCAAGAATTTTAGGCCACAGAATTATATGGCCTGATTTTATTTAGAAATATAACTATGCTTATCAAACATTTAAAGAAGAGCTAATAACCATCCTTCTTAAAGTATTCCAAAAGTAGAAGAGGAGGGAATACTTCCAAACTCATTCTATGAGGCAGCATCACTCTAATACCAAAACCAGACAAAGACACCACAAAAAAAGAAAATCATATAGACCAATATCCCTGATGAACATAGATGTAAAAATCCTCAACAAAATATAAGCAAACCAAATTCAAAAAGATCATCCATTATAATTAAGTGGGATTTATTCCAGGGATGCAAGGATGACACAAATTCAGAAATCAATCAATATCATACATCACATCAACAAAAAGGACAAAAACTGCATGATCATCTCCAAAGATGCTGAGAAAGCATTTGACAGAATTCAACATCCATTCATGACAAAAACTCTTAACAAAATGGGTATAGAGGGTACATACCTCAACATAATAAAGGCCATCCACATATGACAAACCCATAGCCAACATCATACTTAATAGCGAAAAGCTGAAAGCTTTTCTCTAAAATTGGGAACAAGACAGGAATGTCCACTTTCACCACTTTTATTCAACATAGTACTGGAGGTCCTAGCCACAGCAATCAACAACACAAAAAGATAAAAGGCATCCAAATTGGAAAGGAAGAAGTTAAACTGTCACTATTTGCAGATGACATATTATACATAGAAAACCCTAAAGACTCCACCAAAAAACTATTAGAACTAATAACTGAAATCAGCAAAGCTGCAGGATACAAAATTAATACACAGAAATCTGTGGGATTCCTATACACTAACGATGAGCTAGCAGAAAGAGAAATCAGGAAAACAGCTCCATTTACAATTGCATCAAAAGAATAAAATATGTAGGAATAAAACTAACTGAGGTTAGACCTTTACTCTGAAACTATAAGACACTTATGAGAGAAATTAAAGAAAACACCAATAAATGGAAATCTATCCCATGCTCACTGATAGGAAGAATTAATATTGTCAAAATGGCCATCCTGTCCAAAGCAATCTATAGATTCATTGCAATCTCTATCAAAATACCAACAGCATCTCCAATGAATTAAAACAAATAGTTCCAAAATTCATATGGAATCACAAAAGACCCCAAATAGCCAAAGCAATCCTGAGAAAGAAGAACAAAGCTGGGGGCATTATACTCCCCAACTTCAAGCTCTACTACAAAGCCACAGTAATCAAAACAATTTGGTACTGTCACAAGAACAGACCCATAGATTAATGGAAAGTACTATGTTGAATAAAAGTGGTGAATAAAAAAAGTGGTTGAATAAAAGTCTTGTTCCCAATTTTAGAGAAAAGCTTTCCTACACTAATCATCAGGGAAATGCAAATTAAAACCACAATGAGATATCACCTCACACCAGTTAGGATGGCCAACATTCGAAAGACAAGAAATTACAAATGCTGCCAAGGATGAAGAGAAATGGGGGCCCTCCTACACTGTTGGTGGGAATGTAAATTGGTGCAACCGTTGTGGAAAGCAATATGGAGGTTCCTCAAAAAACTAAAAATAGAAATACCATTTGACCTAATAATTCCTCTCCTAGGAATTTACCCAAAGACTACAAGATCCCTGATTCGAAAAGACATATGCACCGCTATGTTTATCATACAATAGGCAAGACATGGAAGCAACCTAAGTGTCCATCAATAGATGAATGGATAAAGAAGAGGTGGTACATATACACAATGGAATATTATTCATCCATAAAAAGAAAACAAATCCTGCCATTTGCAATGACATGGATGGAACTAGAGGTTTTATGCTCAGTGAAATAATCCAGGTGGAGAAAGACAAATATATGATTTCACTTATTTGTGAAATATAAAAACAAAGGAAAACATAAGGAATAAAATAGCAGTAGACTCATAGACACCCAGAAGGGACTAGTGGTTACCAAACGGGAGGGGTTAGGAAGGGTGGGTGGGGAGGGAAAAGATGATTAAGGGCACAATAAATCACAATCACAGTATAGGTTGGTCACAGGGATGGTAGTACAGCACAGAGAACACAGTTAATGATTCTGTAACATCTTACTAAGTTGATAGATGGTGACTGCACTGGAGGGGGTGAGGGCTTGATAATAAGAATGAATGTTGAACCACTGCATTGTGTATATGAAACCATCATAAGATTGTATATCAGTGATATTTTAATTAAAAAAAAAGAAATATAACTGCAGACTATTGAGGAAGAAGAAGGAGGTGTGAGGTGGAGGAGAGGGGAATGATGAAAAGGAGAGAAGCATTAGACTAGAAGTGGAGGCTATGAAACATAAAGGTTATTTAGATGAGAGATAACAAGGGCACAAACACAAAAAATTACAGGGAGAGGGACAGTCCAGAGATATTTGAAAAGGCTATTGACAGACTTGAAATCTGTTGACTGGGGGAACTGAGAAAGAGGTGAGGGAGAGGTGGTTGGTCTAAGGTGAAGGATAAATCACTGGGTAGTTGGTAGTAATGGAGATAAGGCACACTGGTAGGTTTGGGAAAAGATAATGTAGCACCTCCAAGAAGCTATGTCTGCATGTCAGGTCTACAGCTCAGGAGATATGGATGTGGGAGTCATCATGAGCCAGTAATTAAAGGAATGGAAATAGATGAAATTGCCTGGGGAGAGTATGTGGAATGACAAGGAAAGAAGAAGGCCCCAGATGGAAGTTTGATGTGTAGCAAGTCTCCAAAAATGGCCCCAATGAACCATGCATCCCAGAATTCAGGCCTTCTTCTGCTTAACCTGAGCTGGCAGTGTTCTCTGCATTGACTGTGGTGATGGCTACACAACTACACACATTTGCCAAAACTCATCAGATTGTATATTTAAAAAGTCTGAATTTGACTGTATGTCAAATAAAATTCAAGAAACCAGCTTAAAAAAAATAAAGAGGAAGAATAAAGCAAATGAAAATTTATGTGATATACCGGTTGTGTTATCTCCAGTGTCTTTGAGAAGTAGGAATTTTTAAATGAGAAAATAAGATATGGATATAATATAAAAATGTTACAGAAGTTATATAAAAATATTATGATCCTGAATGTGAAATGAAAATATCAGTATGACTTAGGAAGTATTTTATTAAACATGGAAGGGAGGGGGTGGAGGGAGTGGGGAGGAAGGGGAATGGGGGTAGGAAGGAAGGGAAGGAGGGAGGGACTGACAGACGGATTAGCAAAGAAACAAAGACCATCCCAATAGCAATTAACTCTAACACCCAGATAAGGTCTTGAAATACCATTTCCCACTAAAGTAACCAAATCTTCTTGGGGGGAAAAAAGTTGATTCCAGGACTAAGACAGGAAATGTTTAAGATGTGCCTAGAAAATCATGTCATACCAGCAAGAGAAAAAAAATTAGCAAAAACTGATAGAGTCATGTTAAAAGGATTTGGGAACTAATTTGAAGAGGTTGCCATTGGCCAAAGATGGATAATCTTGAGTATCAATAAAGATGAAAATATGTTTAAATCCATGTTTCATAATAATATTAAAGAAAAAGTCAGTATCTTGGGAGGATGCTTGGGAACCAACAATTTTGAAAACTGGTAAACAAAGAGAAAGACGCAAGAATTTATCTTGCTTTTTCCATGAATATACCATTAGCTAAATAACTGATGAGGGGAAATTTCTCCTTACAGAGCATTTCAACAATAAGTGAGTGAGGGATGATAGAATTGAAATATCTTCATTTTGCAACCCCTGATGAATTGAGCCTGAGTGGATGCTAGCAACACAAAAAGAGAGGCACCCAACACTGTGTGTGTGTGCTTCTTGATGAAAGAGACACCACCGTATACAAAGGAGTCTTCTTCCCCCAAAGGATCAAACGTGGCTCTGTTAAAGCCTCTAGATTCAACTATCAACTTTCAGTAAGTTAAGAGGGTGGAGAATAATGATAAATACACTACATTGTAGGGTTGCAGTCAATCGACACAATTTTGCTGATTCTGGGATACTCTATAGTACAAGTGATCCCAAGAAATAAATTGCAAATGGAAAAAAAGAGGTAAAGGGGAACATATGGAGTTAGAGACCTGAAAGACATACTTTACAAAATACCAAAACCATATGCATAGTTGGATAATAAAAGAAGGGAACACTGAACATAAATATCAGGATAGCGGTTATTCTTTGTGTGAAGGGGAGGGTTTGTTTTTGAGATGGGCCTAAGAATGGCTTCTGGAGTGACTGGCAAGAGAATGTTTTCTATCATGGAGGATGATTACAAGAGTATTTGCCTGGGAATAGTTTATTAAGCTCTATATTCTGTGTCTTTAAAAAGTATTTTTGAAAATAAAAAAAGTTAATACTGAAAAAAAAAATTAATCATAAAAAAAAGTAGAAAGTAGAAAGAACAGAAAAAATTATGAGGTTTTAGAAAGAGAAATAAGTTTGACATTAAGAAAACCTTTTCTACTTCTTTTGTATTTAAGAAAACTTTATATACAAAAGAAAAAAAGTATTTTTGTTGTAACTAAAAGAGATTTTAGGTTTTAGTGGTACAATAAAGGTGTTTCCCTTTACATCTCCTAAAACAAGAACAGTAAGAAACACACCCATATGTCTTGAGTTTTCCAATTATCTATAAAAGGCACTAAAAATTTTACTAGAATAAATCTGAAATATTGTTCCTGTTAACTTGGAATTTCACCTGACTCCTTACAGAGGTGACCAAAGGCACACAGGATTTTTTAGAAAAATAAAAAGCCATGCTTGTTAGAACTGAGCAATCTTGAGTGACGCATTTTGTGACCTGAATGTACAATTTGTGTGATATAACTAAAGCATGAGCCTCCAGACCCAAGACCCTCCAGCTCACTGTTGCCTGGAGTCTTGGTCACAATTAATGAAATTCTCATGCTGAATAAAGAATAGTATAGGGCCAGTCACTGAGGGTGAGTGATTTTATTATCTATATTTTGAAGAGCTTTATGTCTCCCAAAATGTAAAATGACACAACCACTTCGGAAAACTGGCAGTTTCTAATAAATTTAAATATATGCTCTATGACTCAGCAACTCTGCTTCTAAGTAACTTTCCAAGAGAAATTAAAACACACGTCCATGAAAAGAGTTGTACAAAAATGTTCATAGTAGCTTTATTCATAATAGCCCGAAAAGATCAGGAAACAGTCTAAATATCTATCGATAGGGGAATAGATAAACAGATTTGGTATATCTATACAATGGAATACTATTGAGCAATAAAGAAAACTGTTACATGAAATACATGGATAAACATGCTGAGTTAAAGAAGCCAGACCAAAAAATTTTTATATATTTTATAATTCCATTTACATGAATTTCAACAAGCAAATCTACTCTATGGTAATAGAAGTCAAAACTGTGGTAATCTCTGGAGGGTAAAAATTACTATTCTTCCCAGGAAGTTTTCTGGCTTAGAAAATTATATGTTATAAATACCTTAGTTTGAGTAATTTTTCATAGAAAACTAGTTTCTCTCCACCCTCACCAAATAAATGGTGAACATTCACAGAATATCTGTTACTTTAAAGGGATATCAAATTCTCAGTCCCGCTTTGGGAGTAACTGCCATCTCTGTCATGAACAAGGGACATGAATGGGGACATATCACGGAAAGTAAGGTGGAGAATATGACTTGAATACAGAAATACCCTGGCCAACAGAAGGAACAAACAGCAGCAGACTCATAGACACTGAGAAGTGACTAGTGGTTACCAAGGAGGAGGGGTTCAGGCGAGTGTGAAGGGGGTGGGGGAGAGAGAGAAAGGCGCACAGTAATTTTCAACCACAATGTAAGTTGGTTTATAGGGACGGTAGCACAGCATGGAGAATATACTCAGTGATTCTGTAACATCTTTCTACGTAGACAGATAGTAACTGCACTAGAGGGGGTGAGGATTTAATAATATGGGTAACTGTCGAACCACTGTTGTACATTTGAAACCAGCATGAGATTATCAGTGACACTTCAATTAAAAAAAAAAATACCTTGGTCTTCACCATGCCACAGAGAAAGCCAGTTCTTCTGATGTCTCCCGCTCCCCCCAAAACAACTGCCCTCTGTCTCAAAAACACAGAATTCTCCAGCAATTGGGTCCTTCAGGGCTGGGAGCCAATGACAGAGCGAGCTGCTCTCCAAAAAGGGCTGAGGTTTACATCAGAGATGTGTTTCCAGTTTCAGCTGCTAGGGGGCAGAACTACGGCAGCAGTAATGGAATGTTTCCAGAAGTGAAGGCTGGAGGCAGAATTAGGCATCTAGCCAATTAAAAAGCAAGAAAAGGTGCAGGTCAGAAGAGGCACAGGAACCCGGGCTCAGCAGAGCCTGTAGGCGGGAATGAGGGTGTGGAAAGCCCAGAGAAAACGCTGAGGTGGCAGTAGGCTGCCAAAAACTGCTGAGATGCAGGCTGAGAAGGGCTCAGTGGACCCCACGGACCTGGGACTGTCTCTGACGAGGGTACCCATGGTGCAGTTCCCACAAACAAGAATGTGCAAGCCTTATTAAGGGGTAGTGGGGTTCAACTAGGGGAGAACAGTTTCCTGAGGGAACCTCCCCGGAAAGTTGGAGGAGATCCAGAAACAAGTACAGACAGAAAATGAGGGTGGCCTATAAAAATAAAGGTATGATTTTTTAGGGGAGTGGTGAAGAAATTCTCTTTGGTCAGTAAATTGATGATTGAAACCTTAAAAGCTTGCTTTTTCCTGATCATTCAGCTTTGATCCCAGTTTAAATGCAATGCCCAAGAAAAATGGAATACTTACTTGAAGTACCCATGGGTCATTTATACTCTGTAGTGAATGAGTGATTTATAAAACAAACGTTAATTGAACACCTTCTTTGTGGAGCTAGAGCTTGTATTCTAGTGAGGCTGGACCAGCAAGAAACAAGAAAAAAAAAACACATAAATTAAAATGTCAGATAGTAAAAGGGCAATAAAAAAATAAATCAGGCTATAAGAAAGAGAAAGACTGGGCAGATTGAGAGGGCCTTCAGATAAGATGCTCAAGAAAGTTTCCCTAAGGGTGATGTTCAAGCCAAGAGCCAAATGCTGAGTCTGCAGTGTGAGATGCGTAAAGAGGCTTCCAGACAGAGGGGACAGTGGTGCAAGGGTTCAGGACTCTGTTGCTCAGGGCCATGAACTTTGTAAATTCCAAAATAAGGGGTTGGAGTTTATCCTCTCTGCAATGAAAAGTCATTAGAGAGTTTTAAATAGGAGAGTGGTCTGACCTCATTTGCTTTTTGAATAGTATTCAGTGGAGCATCAACTCTAAAGAAGCAGAGAGGCCAATTAGGGAGCACTTGCAAGAGTTCTTGATGAGAGGAGATGACAGTGGCATGGACCCGAGAAGTAGCTAAGAGGTAGTGAGACGGGGAGGGGTTGTGGCTATGTTTTGTAGGTGGGTGAGTAAGGTAAAGCAGCACGGATGACTACTAGTTGTCCAGCCTGAACGACTGCATAGCGGTGGTGCTGTGAAATGAAATGAGGAAGACTGCAGAACCACCTGGTGGTGTTGATGAAGAGTCAAGAGTTCTATATGGGACATGATAAGGTTGAGATACCTATTACATATCCAATCGAGATGTCAAGTGGGCAGCTCAGAAAGAACATCAGGGTGGAACTATAAATGCCCTTAGTACATGGATAGTGTAAGTGCTGCCAAAGTGGGCACAGCCTATGGATAGTATTTAAAGCCATCCGCCTAAATGGGATCACCTAGGGACAGAAGGCTGCCCGGGCAGAAAATGGAGCCCAGCCAGCTCCAGGCACTGGATCTTGAGGGGTGAGGCAGGGGAGATGGAGCCAGCAAAAGAGCTGAGAGGGAAGAAGCTGAGAGGTAGGACAGCCAAGGTGGCAGAAGTCAAGAGCTGAAAGTATTTCAAGCCAAGGGAGAGGGTGGGCCATCATGTCAAAAACAGCCTAGCTTTTGAGGAAGAGGATGATTATGACTTTGACAAGAGTAGCTGCAGGGAGTGAGGAGGTTGAAAACCCACTGGAAACCAGGTCTTGATGAAAAAGGGAAACTTATGTGAGGCCAGACCTTCTAGGAGAGAAGAATACCCAGAAATGTCAGAAAAAGTCCATCAAGGGCATGAATGCCAAATACCAAATAGAAGAGGTTCCCAACCTGGCTGAATATCAGAATTACCCCAAGGAATGTTAAAAAAGGAGAGTTTCCTGGTCTCCTACCAGATCTGAATGAGTAGGAGTGGGAATTGCAAGTTATTGTTTTTGCTGTCATTAGTTTTGAATTTAGTTTTTACTAATTGAATCTATATATTTTTAAAGCTCCTCAGGTAATTTTGATTTAGCTGATTAGAACAGGTGAGCTGGGCAGGAATATTCCCACCAAAACAGAATAAATACATTCTCCTAGTTTGGAAAAAAAAAAAAGTCCATAGGTAGAACTTTCAAATTTTATCCCCCCTAAATGTTTTCTTCAACCTTTAGAGATTGTTATCACTTGTGTTCTGATGTATTTCAGTGGAACACAAAATGAGTATTTACAGAAAGACTCAGAAACAGTTTACCATGCCTGGACATCCCGCCCTTTATCATGGATATATGTGCTCCTGACTGTGACTCTATACTGCATACATGGAATTAGAGGTAGGTTTTTTCTGCCATTGAAATTGGTTTTTGTACTTAATAGTGGAGTTGTTTTTAGCAATTTTGACAGTATTATGCAAACTGCACATAGATTTTTAGTTACTCTACTGTCAGAACAGGTTTGAGAATGCTTGGGAAGAGCTCTGAAAGCTTCATGCTCTTTCTCCTTCCTCTTTCCCTCACTTTTCTTGCTCCTTGTCTCTTCTTTCTTCCTCTCTCTCTCTGCTCTTTCCCTCCCGCTTCCTACTCTCCTGTTCTCCCTCCCACCCCACCCACTCTATCTCTGCTCAGGTTAGCAGTTTCCTCAAGGGACACCGGAAAGTTTAATCCCTGTCCCCGAGTTGAGTTCAGATGGCTGGAAGAAAATCCCCAAATGGGAGTAATTTGATATGGTGGGAAGAAACAGGAAAAACAAAATTTTAAACAGGAGCTTCCCTCAAAGAGGGAATAAGGTTTTACCTGTGTACATCACTTTACAGTTCAGAATGCATCATTACATCTATTACTTCATTTGATCTTTACATCAATCTTGGAAGAAACTATGCTTTTACTAACTTTAAAAAAAAAGATTGAATAAATGGAGGCGTAGAAGCATTCAGACAATTCAGGATTCTTCAGGTAGAAAAATACCAACTTCTGAGTGACTTGTTCACAATCCCAGAGTAAAAAAGTGAATGAAATCAGTAATGAAAAGGAACAAATTACTGATACTTGCAACAATTTGGATGACTTCCCAGGGAATGGTGCTGAGTGAAAAAAACCAACCTCAAAAGATTACATATTCTATGATTCCATTTATACAAAATGTTTGAAGAGATGAAATTTTAGAAACACAATAGTGATTGGTGGTTACAGGGTTAGGTATGGTGGAACGAGGTGGGGCAGGAAGGAGGTGAGTGTGGTTATAATAAAGCCAACGACTAAGGGGTCGTGATGAAAGAACCGTTCAGTATCTGTACTGAGATGGTGGATACATGAACCTTTACGTGTGATCAAAGTGCACAGGTCTAAACACATGTATGCAAGTACAACTAGAACTGGAGAAATCTGAATAAATAGATTACCTCAATATCAACACCCTGGTTATGATTTTGTACTATAGTTTTGCAAAATGTTACCAGTGGGAGAAACTGTTTAAAGGGTACATGGGATCTGTTTAATTTCTTACGACTGTATATGAATCTATAATTATCTCAATAAAAACTTCAATTTAAAGAAATGAATGAGGCAGGGTGTGTTTCTGACTCCTGGGTCTTGCCTGTACATTATTTACCTTCTCCAAGTGTAATAGTGTAATGAAATGGTCTTGCTCCTTAGAAGTCACTGAGTTTGACTCAGTGCCCTTTTGAGTGAGTTAGAATGGGGGTATATCCAAATTTGACTCTGATTATTAAATCAACAAGGAAATTTGTTCCCTAGAATAAATAAACTCCCAGAGTGTTTCCTGCATTGAGAGGCTGGGGAACCTAAATTCTGTGCCAAGTATTGCAATATTTAAATTTTTGTGAGCCAGCTATTCCAACACACATACTCTGAGTTTTTCCTAGCTTTTTGGGCTCAGCTATTGAGAGGGAAGACAGTGTTAAGGGTAGGGAAAGGAGAAAACAGTAATAAAGTCTCACATCTGTGGGGTGGGGCAATGGCTGTTGATGGTGGGAATGGTGATTTTCTCTCAACGATTATGTGCACAACAGAATTGGAGGCTGAGGCACAGCCTCTGACTAACAAGGCTAGTGCAGGCTGTCCACTCACTCCATGTCTCAGGCGTTCTTTGCTCTTTTACTTCACCTCTTCTCTTCCCATCACATAATTTTAGCTGCTTCTCCTCCATCTTCCCCACCCCCACCTTCTTTTTTTCTCTTCTGATTTTTCTTCTTTTGTGTGATATTTTCCCATTATGACCACATTTTAATTAATACATAATTTTCAAATATTAACCAAAAACTTAGCAAGAAAGTCACTGAAGCCTAACTCGGGTCTTGCTGAAAGGTCACATGACTGCAACCCTAGTCCAGAGCAGTCTAAGACACAGCTTCCTGACACAGGACTACTTTGTTAGGGGTAAGAAAACCCGAGTTACAGTCCGGGCTTCACCACTAATTTGCCACCTGACCTAGAGCAGTTTGTTTCCTCACCTACAAAACAAAAGGGATTCAAAATTCCCTCTCTAAACTCCCTTTAAGTTTTGTCTGCATCTACACAAACAAGCCTTTCTATCCAGGAGTGCTGGAATGTTGAAAAAAGAGGGTGAATCCAGGTGGAGAAAGAGAATTTAGAAGGTCACTGGATTTGAAGACTTTTCCAGAGGTTGGGTATTCTTATGGGCCAGGAAGCTGTGATCTGACTATGGGCCATCAACCCGAGGCTGTGTGAGCCAACGCTATAATTACACTTAGGCCTTAATGCAGGCGAGGCCTGCAGGCACTGGGCCATAGACGGAGGAGAGTTCATCTGGAGAGAAGGAGGGATCTAATCTGTGCAAAATGACTGTCCAACTAGAAAAGGGAGGTGACTCATTTCTTGCACCTGGGCAAAGTTTGGGTGGAGTGATTCAAAGAGTGGCAGGAAGAAGAATTGGCTCTCACTACGGACTGAGTGAAGAATAGAAAATGAGACAGAGTCAACCAGTGGAAAACACTGAGGAAAGAGAAATTGCTATTCCCCAGGCTGATTCCCAGGCAATGATAACTCCAACCCCCGGGGCCTTCACAGGTTAGGGTCAAAAGGGAGAAAGAATGTACACTTGGGATGGGATATACAGACATTTATTGTGCTCTTATTATGTCAGGCACACTCATGGGCGTTACCTCACTTAACCTTCACAGCAATTGTACAAAATATTAATGTCTCCATTTAATACCCGAGGAAACTAATGCTCAGGGAGGTAAGTCACAAAGTAGGACTATATGCAGAGCCAGCATGACACCGGGTTTGTCTGAGTCCTGTGCTTGAACTCTTCCCCCAGGAGAGCCAAATGTTTGTTTTTAGGCTCTTTTTAGCAGCTGTTGAGCCACCACCTATACTGAAGTCTCTAGTCTCACCCTGCCACTGACCATACTTGCTCATACACTAAAGACAGGCCTAAGAATGCTGTATTATCTGGCAGTGAATAGGGAGGTGTCAGCCCATATCTGAATCAGAAAATCCTCAATTTGAATCCTGACTCTGCTATTTTGGTGCCTGTGGGCAAGATGCAAAACTTCACTAAGCCTCAATATTAATTTCTTTTAAGTGGGAATAATAACACCAAAGTCCTAGAGTTGTTGTGAGGATTATCTGTAAATGTAAATGAGAAGCTCAATACTTAGCACATTATAAAGGCTTAAATGATAGCTATTTAATTATATTAGCATGAACCTAAGCTGTGGCTCTGTAGCTTAGCTGCACATTGGAATCACCTGAGGAGCTCTAAAAACACTGAGGCTGGGTCTGGCTCCACCCCCCAGAGATTCTGACTTAATAGGTCTAAGGTGCAGTCTGGGCATGAGAGTACCGCAAACTCGCCAGGTGATTCTAAGACTTATGTATGCTTCAGAATCACATGGAGGGAGTGTTAGACCATAGGTCACTAGGCCCCATCCCCAGATTCTACATCTGATATCTTAAATTTTTTAGACAACCTCTAAGTTTTCCATCTTCCTTAATGAAAATAACACTTTTATTGAATACATATCATATCCTGGACATTATGCTGCTTTACAGATAAATATCATTTAATCCTCATAACAACCCTATGGTTGTTTTTCATTTTATAGATGAGGAATCTGAGGCTCAGAAAGGTTAAGTGATTTGTTCCAGGTCCCACAGTTGCTAGTAGGACAGAGCCAGTTTGGGCTTTGTAGTGCATCCTTTTAATCAAGACCCTATAGAGCCTCTTTTCCTTCTAATGAAACTGTTCTTAGATCTTACTGAGACTTCCAGGCCTTGGCCTCTCTTTTCTCCCAAACTTTTAGCTATCATCCCTTCCTTTCTTCCCTCTCTATCCTCCAGCCATGGCAAGGGTGGAGCCTGAGCTTTGCATTTCTAACAAGTTCCCAAACTGATGGTCTGGGGGCCACACTTGGAGAAACATGAGCCTCAAGGAAGTGCAAAGGAGACTGAAAGGTGAAAAATGCTTGTTTTAGAATCCCACACCCAGAAATCATGGTTAGGTCTTGAGTGGCTCACCAACCATTCACTCTCAGGAACAGAAAAGGTTTCCAAGCCTGGTTTTCTCACCTGTTAAATGAGTTGTTAGGAGATGTGGTTAAAGTGCCTAGGATCTGGTAAGTGCCACTGCGTGGGCATCCAATGTCATTGTACTACTAGGCAGAAGGGCCATCTTTACCATAAAGTCCAATATATTTAGAACAGGTGGGCCAGTCAGAAAGAAACAATTCTTACAAATTTATGCATTGCTAGAAAAGAACTGCTCTGGGCAAAGGTTTTCTTCAGTGGCTTTCTCTCTCAAACTGCATAAAGGACATCATCATGAGTTTACTCTGTTATCTCTCCCTGGAATATTTGCAATTTAAAAGAGACCATTCACAAGTGTGAAGTTAATCACGAAGAAGTGACTTGCTATTAGATGGAATAAAAATGCCTTTCAGTGGGGGAAAGGGAGCTGAACAAGAAGCCATTAAACTGTACCAAGAGGCAGTCTTTCCCTTTGCTCAGTTCCGTTGTTAACTCAGAAGCACTGTAGGGTTTAGACAAGCGGACCCTGTCAGAGCAGTGTTGTAGCGAGGTCACAGGAGCGGAATGGAGGATGGATTTAAGAAGGCAAGCCTGGAAGCAGTGAGACCTGTTCAGAGTCTCTTGGAATAGTTGAGATGATCATTAGGCGGGCTGAACCAGGAAGAGGGAGCAGAGATGTACAGGAGGTGCTGAGCAGGAGATTTTAAGGATTAAGAATCTACAGGGCCTTGTGATATATTGAGTGAGGGGTGGCAGGGAAGGAGAAACAACTGCATGACGCAAGATTCTAACCAGTGTGGCCCAGAAGAGTTTAGAGAGATGAA